GGTAGTTGTGTCTATGGCTGTATAAGCAAAATAGTGTAACTCCTAAATGGCAGAAATATTGCAGGGAAATTATCTATATACAAAAACTACTTAATTAATTAAAAGTTGTTTTGGAGCTTGTAGGGTAATTTCAGAAAATCTGGACTGGGACGCTGCTTGTGAGCAAGTTGCACCCATGGCTTGCTCGGTATCCTATTTGTAGGATGGCTAGGAGATTATGGGAGGGTTTACGGAAGGTTTATGGGAGGGTTACCCTGGAGAGTCCTTTACTGGTCTGTGTGGTAGCTTTACAAATTGGATACTTATATGTCTACTAAGCCGGAGTCTACCAGTGGCTCTGGTAAATGTGAGTAGTTCTAAGCGTATCTTGCTATATATATTTTTATAACTATATTTCACTATGCGAGTATCCTGTTTTTTTGTCTCCTGTATAGACTTGTAATCTCTGCATCTCATTGGAAGTTCAGTTCTAAGTATTTTATCGCTTATTACGTTTTAACACTTCCCACTCTGTTTTTTGTCACACTGTATATACACAGTATATACAAAAACTACTTAATTAATGAAAAGTTCTTTTGGAGCTTATAGGGTAATTTACGAAAATCTGGACTGGGATGCTGGTGAGCAAGTTGCATCCATGGCTTTCTAGGTATCTTATTTGTAGGATGACTAGGAGTTTATGGGAGGATTTACTGAGGGTTATTGGATCCCCTTATTCTGGTTTTCTCCAAATGCGTCTTCCATGGTAGGTAGCAGTGACAGATCTGGGAGGGGGGCAACAGGGCAATTGCCCTCACCCCCCAAGAGAAAATAGTGCAGCTGCCATCGGTTGAGCTACCTCATTAGGGGCCTGGTCTGGTGCTGCAGCCCTTTGGCAGACCGGGCCCCTCTAATTTTGCAGGGAGTGCTGGGAGGAAGTGACTGTTACTTCCTCCCAGCTTACAGACCACGTGGGCTGAGAACACAGGATGCAGCTGAAAGAGGAGGAGGAGGAGGGAGGAGAGAGATCTCTGTAGCTTCAGACTCCCACCAGGATCAGCCAGCCCCAGAAAGTCACCTCCCTGCAACCAAAAGGTATGGAAGCAGGTGGGTGGTTAAAATTATGGAATCTGCAATTTGTGTGTGTGCCAGTGTGTATGTTTAGGTATGTGTGCATCTGTGAGTGTCAGTGTGCATCTGTGAGTGTCAGTGTGTATCTGTGTATGTGTGTGCATCTGTGAGTGTCAGTGTGTATCTGTGAGTATGTGTGTGTCAGTGTGTATCTGTGAGTATGTGTGTGCATCTGTGTGTGTCAGTGTGCATCTGTGAGTATGTGTGTGCATCTGTGAGTGTCAGCGTGTATCTATGAGTATGTGTGTGCATCTGTGAGTGTCAGTGTGTATCTGTGTGTGTGTGTTTACGTGTAGGTATATGTGTGTCTGTGTGTATCTATGAGTATGTTTGTGTGTCAGTGTGTGCCAAAGTGCAAAAGTGAAAAGTTTTGGCCCTAGAGGGACTTAAGCATGATTAAGACCCCCTGGGACCGAAAGGCTGCACTTTTGCACTTTTATGAGGTGTTCTACCCTCCAAAAAAGACACCTTCGGTATCTGGAGCTTTGCATATTACCTTGTATCTATATTCTATTACCTTATATCTGTGTGTGTATGTGAAGGTATTTGTTCCAGTGTGTGTATGTGCGTGTCTGTATGTGTAGGGATTTTTGTGTGTGTCTGTGCGCCAATGTGCTTGTGTATGTATGTGTGTACCTATGTGCCAGTGTGTGTATGTGCAGGTATGAGTGTACATATCTATGTGTAGGTATGTGTATCTGTGCGTGTGCCAGTGTGTGTAGATATGTGTGTGTGTATCTGTGTGTGCCTGTGTAGGTATAGGTTTGTATCTGTGTGGGCCAGTGTATGTGTCTGAAGGTAAATGTTTGTATCTGTGTGTATGTGTCAGTATGTTATTGTGTTTCCATATCCCTGTGTGTGGCCGCATATGTGTACAGCCTCCTATTCCCTTAACTAGAGTCCCCTATTCCTCTTCGGCAGCCCTCTTCACCCCGCTATAGCCCACCACCAATACCCCTACCGAGATTTGTTTCTGGATCCACCCCTGGTGTGTAGGGAGTACATTCTTGCTAAAAAGTTACTTAAAGAAGTTCAATCTGGTCACACGGATGACCTCTTTTCTATTCTACTGTTTGATAATCTTGTCCCTGAGAAGAATCCAGGTGCTTTTTTGGCTAATACTTTATCTTATCCGGCTGGGCCATTGGTTAATGATGGGATTGCTAAAGAGGATTGTTGGATGCACTATGCCTACTTTAACAGGTCTTTGGAGTTTATTTGGTCAGCCAGTCAGAAAGTACATTTGGAAAAGACTGATATTCAGTCTAACTTTCGGCTTCTCCATGTTCATTTGACAACATTATTTGTGTGGTTTTGGTAAATACTTTGGAGTATGTACAGTTGGGCCATATTGACTGGGATATAGGATGGTGACATATTATCATTTTTAATAAATATTGTATGCTTTTATGCATATCTTTTTGTGCTGGCTAGCTGAGCTGGAAGAAAAAATAACAAAACATTGATTTATATTGTTAGAGTGAAAGCAGCTCTATTTCTGCAGTGTACCAATTTACTCATATCTATATATATTTTGGAAGTACACTGTTTTCACCGTATATGCATTGGAAAATCTGATGTACCCTTCATCAAGTTAATTTAAGTATTTGTGTTTTTTTTTTAATTATTATTCTTTTACAATTTTCACACACTATTTATTTATATACTTGTTTATGATTATATGTTTGAAGCACAGTACAGATTATTTTATTGCGTCATCACATCTTATTGATCATTTAGTGACAGGCGCATCGTCGCCATATGGGCTGGTGGTATAAACAATCCCCATCATCCACCCAAAAAGACACGAACACTGATGTTATATGGGTTAATAAGTCCACAGCTTTATTAAATATATATTAATCATAACTTAAGATAAAAATGAATAAATAAAGTCATTGCCCCCAACCCCCACCCTGTAACAGAACATAACCCTCACTTAATGGAAAAGGCAATGACCCATATTTGTAAGCAATAAACATTTACATAACAAAACAGTCAACATCATAACCAAAATACAGAAAGTACCATTTACTTCAATAGCCATGGTAGGGGTATGCACGGATACCCCTAACCCACCAGGTTCTGAGCTACCGACGAGTTTGAAACCTACCAAAGTTAACATGAACCATTAACCCCTTCTTCAACAGCAGAATAACTACCCTGTACTTAACAAAGATCCTGCTGTACCCCTAACCTTCAGCTCACTAACCCTGCCACAAGCTCAGACCTTTACCCCTTAAGCCATCTGAGCTCCGCTACCCCGAAGAAATAAGGCTTTACTCAGTCCTTCCTTAAAACCCAAGTTTAACAGCTCCCAACCCACATCCAAAAGGTGAAACCTGTCTGGGCGAAAGTAACCGGGTAGCATAGCCTGCAGCTCTGTGTGCTGAACCACCATGCACCAAGTTTTCCTAACGAAACTGGCCATTAGACTATTCACCTTACCCTGACACTTCGCAAGCACGCCAGGATCCCTTGCGTACCACCACCGTAGCCGGGGGACCATCGCCGGCCACATCCCAAAGCCGATTGATATCCTGTTTCATCCATTTTACAAGCTACCACTGAGGGACATTACTCCCGGCATTCAAGACCATGAAGTCTAGCATCCTCCCACTAGCCAGTAAATGAAATAAAGCCCCACATACATTTCCCAACCGGCGCCTCGGTAACCAAACCATTTGATCACATTCCGATCTACAGAAAAACCTAGCTGCTGACCCTGGTCACGAGCTCTGGCCCTCCTCTTCACCCAGAAAATGAAAGAATGGCCAATGATCCCGGCCACCCGGCCTACGGAGAGAAAAGAGACAATCAATCAATCAACAACCCCTACAAACCACCCTCCAGCAGTCCCAGGCACACGTATGACCGGAACTGAACTGATTCCCACCTCCCTATCCTTTTGACAAGTTCCTCAACAAGCTCCAACCGGGTTGCCTACATGGCCACCACGATGCGAAACGAATGGGTCCTGAACCGATCGTGTTGTAACCCCAGCCTCCCCAGTCCCATCCTGAAAACCATAAAGAACTGAAAATGGGAAAGTGAAAGTTCCATCCCTGTGCTGCAAAAAGGAACCCTTTTTTCCATGGGTGGGTAGATCTAACAAAGCATTTTGGTGCGGCAAGCGCAAAAGGGCTTTTGGGGGGGTCGCAAGTCTGTGGATACGAGGTGGCCAGTTTCCTTAGGGATATTAGAGGGTCTGCTTCGGGTCTTGCCGGAGATCTGCTTCAATTGCTCAGAGACCCTCTTATTTCGCACCGCATTTGTGTTAGCATTTTTCGGTGCTTTCCAGATCTGCACTCCCCCCGATGTGTGTCAATCTCCAGGCCCAGGAAACGAAGGCTCTCCGTTGAGGCCTTCCATCTTGCCCTCAGCGAGCAGTACCACAAAACACCCAGCAACCCATTCAATGGTTCTCAGGAGATGGAGACAAAGCTGGGAACCCGCCGGGCCATTCAAGGAAGGATCTAAATGCCTCGAAGTACACGCAGGAAATCAAACAGCCCATCAGGAGGCACAAATCGATGAAGTAAGCCCCTTTGAAAAAACATCCCAACAGGTGATGGCACTCGGGGTGAACTGGCAGCAGGCAAAAAGCCACCTCAATATCCACCTTCGCCATAAGGGCGTCACGCCCAGCCTGCTTAACCAACTCAACCATGTGGTCGAATGATGCGTAAGCAACTGAGCACAGATCCCCATCAATGTTGTCATTTACAGATGAGCCCAGACAGGTGATGTATCAGGCGAAATTTTTCCGGCTCCTTCTTGGGGACTACACCCAAAGGAGACACCCACAGGTTGGGAAAAGGCGTCTCCTCAAATGGACCTGCCATTTATCCCAGTTTAAGTTCCTTGCCCAATTTCTCCCTCGCCACCTCAATAAGGAAACCCACCTCAAAACCCGACTGTAACAGCTCTGCAGCTCCCTTGTTACTGTAGTGGCTTAGCCACGGTAGCATTGAGTCATGTTTCACCGTTGTTAAGCCCCTGGGCAACGGAGGCTGCACCAGCCGCCCCAGAGATGGCCCCTCCGTTTCCACTTTTAAAGCACCACCTGTGGAGGCCATGGGCGCCCCCAGCACTCGTGCTTAAATCGACAGGCCGAACCCCTCTTGCACTTACCCTCGTTAAAGAGCCAGCAAACGCCTTTTTTAAAGGTGGCCAACAATGCGGGCTGTCCCCCTACCGCTTGCTGAAATGGAGATGCCTTCTGTGCCATCATCAACTTCATCCAGAGAGGCAATTCCATTTGGTCCCACCCAGGGCCGCCATCAGTACAACCATAACGCTTGTCACGCGCCCGGCGGCCCTGGGGGGCCCGGCTGCCCGGGCCCCACGTGTAGCGGCGGAACTGCCGCTGGTGCAGTTGCACCGGGGCCCGCACACTGATGGAAAAAAATGAATGCAGCCGTAGCAAGTGCTGCTGGGAGGAAGTGGTCACTTCCTCCCAGCTCACTCCGCACGGGAGGAGAGACAGTCCTGCAGTGAGGGAGAGCATTGCCGACTCCCATCTGCCCCAGCCACCCTCCTGAAAAGATAAGGTAAGAAACAGGAGGGTGGCTGGAAAATGAGCTCTGTGTGTGTGTATGTCTGTGTGTGTGTTTTTGTATGAATGCATGCATGTCTGTATGTATGTATATTTGTATGCATGTATGTCTGTATATATGACTGTATGTCATTATGTATGTCTGTATGTCTGTATGTCTGTCAGTATGTATGTCTGTATGTCTGTCAGTATGTATGTATATATGTCTGTATGTATGTATATATGTATGTATGTCAGTATCAATGTATGTCTGCATGTCTGTATGTCAGTATCAATGTATGTCTGCATGTCATTATGAATGTATGTCTGTGTGTATGTGTGTATGGATGTCTGTATGCATGTATGGCTGTATGTATGTATGTCTGTCAGTATGTCTGTATATATGCATGTATGTCTGTCTGAATGTATGTATGTATGTATGTCTGTATGCCATTATGAATGTATGTCTGTATGCCATTATGAATGTATGTGTGTATGGATGTCAGTGTCTGTATGTCTGTCTATATATGTATGTATGTCTGTAGGTCATTATGAATGTATGTCTGTGTGTATGTATGTCTGTGTGTATGTATGTCAGTGTGTATGTATGTCTGTGTCTCTATGTCCTCATGCATGTGTGTCTGTATGTATGTTAGTATGTGTCTGTCTGTCACTATGTATGCCTGTGTGTCTGTGTGTGTATGTCTCAGTATGTGTGTGTCAGTATGTCTGTTTCAGTATGTGTGTCTGTGTGTGTATTCCTGTGGGCGGGATTTGGAGGCAGACCCTGTAGGCGGGATTGGAGGCAGGCCTGAGGGGGCCTAGACCCTGCGCTGAGTTAGGGGCCCCAAAATTTCTGGTGGCGGCTCTGGTCCCACCTAATCCCAGGGTTAGCCGAGAGCCACTGCCAGAACTGCTCATCATACTTCCACCACCTGAGCCCGCCGTACGTGCGATAAACCTCCCATATGCTATCTAAGTAACAGAACAGGGTGGAACACAACACAGTGACTTTTCCCTGTGTACGCTGTTGAGAATGCAAAAAGCCTGCAGCCAATTACCAAATGACAGAATCTTTCAGTACCTCCTACACTTTTCCTCCTCCTCCTCCTTCTTGTCATCCTTCTTGTCCTCCTCCTTCATGTCTATAAATTCTTCTAACGGAAGGAGTGAAAATATCTCACAGAACTCACTTTTCCACAATTTCTCCTTCACCTCCTGCTTCAACTATTCCCCCATTAGCCCCGCGAAGGAGAAGTACCCACGTCAGCCCCGTGCTGTCCCATCTACCCCCATGAATCAATCAGATGTTGCAAAAAGTGCAGTGAACTGTGTGAGTGCAAAGCAGCATCACACTCACCGGCCAAGCCCTCAGCCGCCGAAGGCTGCTTCACCAGATCCAACCACTCCAGGATGCTGCCCATCTGTCTGTCGACCAACCCGGGGAACCACCTGATGCCGGGAATGACGAGATGATGATCTACTCCTTGACATGGAAAGAGGAGAAGAAGTCCTGGTCAGGGTGCACAGTTCTTCCCCAGACCTCCCTCTGCGACTGCGGGAAGCCAAAGCATCCCATTGACTTCAGAACTGCCTGCCACTCAACGGACCGGATGCCCCGCTGACCCGACACCTGGGGCTTCGGCTCCTGCAAACTGCCCTGGGGGACCCACAGTGCGACTCCCTACTGGAACTCACAGAGCCATCACCATAGGAACTGCCAGCGTCTAAGGGGAGCACAGGGGAAGGATCCCGGGCACTGTTAATGCTATCCTCCGGACTGCCTCCGGGAGTCCCACGCCTGATCTCATATGGGGAACACGCGCAGGTCCAGGTGCAAGACTTGCAGCTCAGCTCCTTCCAAGGCACGACACCTGGTGCCCACCTGCCATGCCAAGAGCTTTTCCCTGCCCTGCCCCTCCTCAGAAGCATGGTCCATTGGACATACCTGCCCACTGGAAGCACTCTGCTGCCCACCAGGGGCCACCTACCGTATGCACCTGCCTGCAGCCACTCACTTTATCCGGACCCCTCACTGGTGACCACCCCTGGGCTAACACCGAGGGGAGCCATGTGGAAAAGTGGGCCATGCCCACCCCTGTGTACCCCCATGTACCGCCAGACCACCAAGGGGGCCCGCCATCCCCTGTGATGAACCAGACTCCCCACATCAGAAGGGCTGGCCGCACCAGGGGCTACCAACAGCATTCTGACAGGACCACTCACCCCAGCGGCACCTCCCCCACCGAGGGACCCACTGCTGGGGAAGGACTAATAGCTAGTGCCCCGCTCCCACTCCCAAGGCCCACTGCAGCATGCCCAAGTGCACCCCACAGAGCCCTTCGCCCCAGCACTTGCCTGATGAATGTGGGTGCTCCAGATGTCTGGCTCCTTCCCCTCCTGGAGTCCGCAGGCTGATCAGGCTGGATCCTGCCACCAGGGGCTGCCCTCCTGGATGGGTGCCTTGTCAAGCTCCGTCCACCAGGGGCAGCACTGCCGAACGCAGTTGCCCCACTATGCAGCCCATTTGCCTCCAGCACTGGGGCTGCATTGCCAGCCGGCCCAGCTCCCACACCACTCTGACCTCCATCCACTCCAGGGGGCAGGTCTTCTGAACCGTGGCCCGCCCGCAGCCGCCCTTGCACATAGCCCTGTCACACAGGAGCTGGATTGCCCAGCATCACCACTCCTACCTCCCGGCCTGGGCTCAGATGCTGCCGGTCCGGCTGCCGCCAGAATGGACTCCAGGCATGCTGCCATCTCCCGTGGGTCACCGGACCCCGCTGCCTCCCAGATCCCCCACAGGAGCTGCTCCACTGCCTCCATCCTGGAAAACAAAACAGAAACTTTCCAGACCAAAAAAGCAGACACACAGAGTGCACACAATTTCAGCCAGGTAAGAAAATTAGACTGATGAATTCTAAAATGGCTGCCTACTTATACTAGGTCAGCCACTTAGTCCCAACTACCCTATCCCAACACCCTTTCCACCTGCGTCCGCATCCTAGCTCTGTCAGGGCCCTTATCCACTAAGCTTCGCTTCTTCCTAGGGGCTACATGTATTGTATAGCACCACTAGAACACTTTATTTTTTCAGGTTTGCTGAAATATTCTGGAACAAGAGCATTACTGCTGCACCAATATCTGGTCTTGAACCTGTAATTATGAATTGTAGTTTCTAATTGTCTTGCTACATTTTTGGGTTGTGATTTATCCATTCTACTCTATTTATGGGTAAGTAAAGTCCAAGAATAAAAGTGTTATAATATATTGGTGTTATATTTTTCATTTAGTAGATAATCCCCACCATTATAATTCTCCATTTGAATACCAAAAACACAAAAATGAAAAAGAAAATGCCCACAATCAAATTGTTTTTTTCACAGGTGAAGTCAACTTTAAAAGTAAATGTCTAAAATGAATGATTGCATTTATGAAACATATATTTAGGTCATATACTGTCTTTTTACAAAAATATGTACTGGATTGATGCCATCATTGAGAAGGAATGAGGTATGGCAAGTATAAAGAATTTACAGTAAGAAACAAGATTTTGTAAGAGATGTTCATTGGAGACAATTTGTCTCATATAAAAAGCAGAGACACTGTTCCAGAAATAACTAGAGTTGAGCGGACACCTGGATGTCCAGGTCCGGCGGGTTCGGCCGAACTTTGAAAAAAAGTCCGGGTTCAGACTCGGGCTTTTTAAACTTAAAGCTGAAAAGACTATAACTTGGTATTGTCTGTCAACGGTACTGTGCTAAAGACCAATACTTATATTAAGGAATGTAATGATGTACCTGGCTCTATAACTGAAAGGTTTTAGGTCAATTACCAAATAGAATGAAGAAAAAAAAGTTTAATACACATGTTATTGGCAGATGTTGTGCTGGCCAGATGTTTTGTATTGTTCATAAAACCGGATTGTGATCCTTGGCGGCTGCTTCTTTGACATGATTGTCAGATCAATACAATTTGTTTCAACTGTTGAATCAATATACGCTGATGTAATCATTACTCAATAGAAACGTGTGAGAAGATCGGTTAAACTGAAACTACACCGCTATTGTATTGTACAGCTACCTGTCATAACTGTAAGCAAGAGAATCCACATTTTCTCATTTTGTTTGCTTACTTTTTATTTTGCATTTCTTGTAGAAACTAGAACAGCGAATTAAACTAATATTATTCAGAAATGATTTGAAAGAAGCTGAAACTAAAGTATATTCCAGGCCAGCTCTACTTGCTCTAGGCAGCGATGCCAAGATTACCTATACAAGAAGCTACCTGTTATATCCCCTTTGGGTAACTAAGTTCTCACGCACAAAACTGGCTTTTTTTCTGTTGGCTTACATTCAAGTCGTTGCTAAATCTGAGACTGAACTATGTAATACATTATTATTACACAAGATAATAAAGTGTACTGAGCTCTTTTAACATTCACCAAAATATGTTTGATGTAGTCTTTCTTATGGAACGAGAAGATTTCAAATGCTAAGCTAAGAAGCATTGTCCTATGAAATGTTTATGATGAAAGAAAAATGTTGGACGAATCAACAAGTATAAAAAAATGGTGATACCTTTTTATGGTGTTGTGAATATTTAATCTTTTGGATAATAAA